TGCTGTTATCCTCTGCCACCTCCTTTAGCCAACCCCTTTAGTTCACTATCCACGGCCTGGGAATCAGCCTAGACAATTTGAAATGCATTGAGCCCCCTCCTCTGCATTTGTTATATCTTGAAAACATACTGTTTTTGCACACAGTTCTGTTTCTACCCAGTCTAGGCAGTCACTGTTATTTTTGAGAAAGACTTTACTTTAAAAATATGCATGCCTTTATTTCTAATTTGATATGTAGAAAGTCCACAATGACTCTATTTTGTATTTCATGATTCTTTTAAGTTGTAAGGCAAACATCTTTGAACTGATTTTATTTATTTATTTATTTATTTATTTATTTATTTATTTATTTATTTATTTATTTATTTATTATTTTTGGAGGTACGGTCTCAAGTAGCCCAAGATGGCCTCTAACTGGATATATAATAAAGGATGACCTTGAACTTCTTCTTTTTTCTTTTTCAAGACAGGATTTCTCTGAGTAGTGTTGGTACCTGTCCTGGATCTCACTATATATTATTATAAATTTGAGACAACACCACCAAGGTTGTTTGATAGAGGAATCTTTATCCTGTGCCTACTCATCCTGTCCTCAGTCCTTCATAGTCCATTTGGTTCCTCATGCCTATCTGGAAGGGGCAGCTGAAATGTCTCATCCTAAAACCACATCCATGTCAATTTGAATCACTGGCTGACCTTTTTGAACTCTGAACTCTGGGTGTTTTCTTTCTTGTATCCTTCCATGGTCCCCGCCAAGGCCTTTGCCTGGAGTGTCATATGTAAATATAATCTAGACAGGGGTAGAGTGTTGAATGATCAGATTTACCCCCCCTCCCATATTTTATGTTACCTTTAATTAATTAATGTGACAGTGGTATTAACTTTACAGATGCTTCGTAACACTCTGATATCATTATCGCATGTAGTTCATTTCATTTAAAAATGACCATTAAAAACTACTATAGTTACAGATGGTTTTCTTTTTCTTTTTTCCCCAAATAATCAAAAATCTCAAGAAAAACACCCACAATTTAGTCTTGCTGCTTGAAAATGTCATGTGTACTTATTGGCTTTTGACAATAGAAACCTTCACATGACTATTTCTAATTGTATCTCATTTTCCTCCCGTGTTCCTGTCAATCTTTCCAGAAGAAAAAAAAAGCCACGGTTGTTACCGTCCAACAACCCGAGTCTGCTCTTTCTGGACACCGCTGGCGAAGAACTGGGCTGGAAAACAAGAGGACAGTGGCTCCCACCGTCCGGTTTCACTCTCACTTTTGGCGCCCTGGGTCTGTTTGAAACTCAATCTCTCCTACTTGACAACCGAGGGAACCGAAGTCGGCCGCTTATACTACAGCTGGGAAAGTGGTGCCAGGTGGACTCAAGGAAACCAACCCCTGTGATAAGTGTGTTCGGTCTTGTACACTCATCTAAGTCTGACTCTTTCCTGTGCATCAGGAAATGGTATAAATTGGGCCCACAGGACAACACAGGGGGTCTGAAGGTACCCGCTACCAAACCTGAGTTGGATGCCCAGCTAGAAGGCAGAAATGACTGTGGCAAGCTGTCCTCTCCCCTCCACACCTCCTATGTGGCACACTCGAACCCCTACACATGTACGCACAGAATAAATAGATGTAAAGAAGGTTTCAATAAAACCAGGAACTGGTAGGACTTAGGTGGCCTTTTTTAGCTGGAGTCCGACCGTGTTAGTCTCTACACATTTCTTTTTGTTTTGTTTTCCCTTTGTATCACAAACAGATTGTTCCTCTTCTCACACTGACAGTCTTCATGAAGTTCTAGCAGGAATATACTAGCTGGTGGATTTGTAGAGTTGTGTGAACGAGGCACTCGGGTAAATCTCTAAGAAGGCCCAGCTTGAAGCTAGATGTCAGAATCCCACAAAAGGAAGTGTAAGAATGAATCTGAACAGGATCACATTGGAAATAACCATCCTGGGAGAGTTCTCTGAAGGAAAGCAGGGTGCGTGTGATTCCTTATTGTAGCTTATTTCCTAGCTGTACTAGGGAATGAAATGGTGCCTGGTACCTCATTGTTTTACCGAGTTGGGATAGTTCCTATTAAAATAATATGTCAGGAATGATTTGTATGACGGCAACAAGGATTCCGGGCTCTTGAAAGATGGATATCATACTTGACTACTTCATGCTGCTGAACACTTCATCTTCTTCTTGTTGTTCTCTTAGGTTTGGCGGGGGAGGGGGACATTGTTTGTGGTTTTGTTTCCCTTTCTGGCAAGACTTAACTTCGCTAAAGCACCCCTGGGAGTCCATCCCAACATTTCTTCTCTGTGTCTATTGTCTCCTCCAGACCACAAGCCCCTGAAGGGCACAGACCACCTTTTATATTCCCCAACACAATCCATGGACACTAACATGGCCTACATGAAAGACTGAACAGCGATTCTCCCCTAATTGAGAGTTTTTAACCTAACTGACACTGAACTCTTAAACGTAAGAAAGTGCTTTGCATTTTATGCTGTTACTAAAAACATACATAAGATTACACTTAAGGCAAACATCTATAAACCTCTTTCAGTTTTAAAGGTATCAGTACTTACATAGGAAAAAAGTGATTTCAAACACATCTTCCTAAGACAAAGTATTATAATACTTTAAAATAATAAATAACTTAAATTTATTATACATGGTTTGAATTGTGATCTTTACAGCACATATAAGCAGTGAGAGCTCTGGTTATGAATATCTGGGGACAAATGCTGTTTTTAAAAAGAACATATGCCAATTTTAGGCTGTACAAAGGCTCCTGTGTGACCTCTACCAGCAAAGTTCAGTGTGTGACAGGGAGGGCTATTCAGCTAATTGTAGGGGAAAGGGGAAAGAGAGGGAAGACTTTTTAAAGAGACGTCTTATACTCACTATTAAAATTTCCTTTTAACTACAAATGCTAATGTGGCAAAGTCAACAGTCTAATGACTACCCACCACCCACCCACCATCCCCCCAACCCCAGCCACCTCTGTGTGTTAGTGTGTGTACATGCCATACCCATGTGAACGTGTATCTGTCTGTTTGCATGTGCCTATATAGTATGGGAAGATTTTGTCAAAATATAGTATAATAAAATGTTTAACGAATATTTTAGGGGCTAAAAGTCTAGTTAGTGAAATAATTTTCAAAATACACTTAGTTAGTATTAAAGCAAGGTGAGTACTTGGGACGGAGAGGCAAGAGGGTCAGGAGCTCTGTCATCCTCAGGTACACAGTAAGTTTGAGACCCATCTGATCTACGTGAGAGCTTGCACACACAGAATGTAATTTATAATAAAATATGAAAATCATCTTAGTCATTTGACCTGCAATTTAGATGCTTTATTAAACATTAAGAGTTGGCATTTATTTCAGCAGATCTCCAATAATCCACCCAGGAATATGTGGTTTTATTCCTGATATTTAAATTATCATTTTCTATTTACCCAAGTATCTTAGTTGTTTACAGATGCCAAGTGTTTGGAGAAAGCATGTTTTGGACATACGAGTGTACCCATTTCTATTTTTCTTAAAACTACACTGACATAAAAAAAAATTAAATAACACATAACTGACTTTTTAAAGTTTCCTTTCAAGCCACAGAAAAGATCGGATTACAAATAGGCCCTTCATGCACACCCAGTGCCATCACTCACGGGCATGCCAGAACGATCATAGTCTGCCACCACTGGTGCCACTGATCCCCGGCACTTTCTCCCCTTCCTCCCAAAGTAGCTGTGCCCGGGAAGTTCTGTTTGGGGAGAATGGTGAGGCTGCCAATGCCAGAGGGGCAGTTCTGCCTTCCATCAGATACAGCCTTGGCTGAGGAAACAACCGAGAAGAGGGGCCGTGCCCATATCTGTGTCTAGAAGGGATGCTGTATTAGCCGCTTCGAAATCTTAAAACGCCCTTTTCATGTTTAGTCTTTCTTTGATGTTTTTGTTTTGGGGGATTGTTTTGTTTTGAGAGAGGGTCTCACTATGTAGCCCTAGCTGGCTTGGAACGTACCATATAAACTAGCCTGGCCTAGGATCCTAGAAATCGCCCTGCTACTGCCTTCTGAGTGATAGAATAAAAGGCATGAACTACCATGTCCCGACAAGATGCAGTTTGCAAAGAAATGTGACAAATTGCCCTGGCAATAACTATGTGTTGACTGTAATCTTCAGATATGTCTGATTTTCTTCCCTTTAGCATTTTCCTAATAGGATGCCGCTTACAACTTAGCAAATTACAAACCGATTGTCTTCGGTGCTCATATTGTCTAGTGCTACATAAAATGGTGCATCTTTCAGTTGGTGGGTAAATGAAAAATAAAATTTAAAAACAAAGAAGGACATGACCTCTCCTAAGTATGTTGGAGGAGAAAGGAAGGCCGTGTGAGGAGAAGAGGAGGGAGAGCCAGGAGACCAAGAGGCCAGGGGGGTAAAGGGTAGACAAGAGGGCCAGGTAACCAGAATGGCTGGATTATATCGGGAAGGGGAGCTAGGAGAAGACAGCCCAGCCCCTGGGCTGGAGAAGTTGAGGGTAGACTTCGGGGTATGCCAGACATACCCTATAACAGGTAAGGAATTGAGAGATGATGGGAGAATCTGGAGGCCAGGTCAGCTCTGATATATTAAATAGGCACCTCAGTTAGCCATTTGTCCCAAGTTTGAGACCTAACAGCGGTATCATCCACTCAGTCAAATAGAAATCTGGTTAAATATGGGCAAGAATATACTTAAAGGGACAGGCTCATCTTTTAAGTAGTTTATAAGTTTGTCTATAGTCTGTTATTTTATGATTTATTGAGTAAAAGTGTCAATTATTCTTAGGCACTAAGGTTAATAGAAAAGATACACAGCACTCACAGAGCATACAACAAGCTGGAAGACAGACAGCTACATATTTCCTTATGTTGTATGGTGGGGTGTTTTTATAGAAACAAGGTGCTGGGACACACTTGTTTCTGAGGAAGGAGAGATAGTCCAACTCCCTGATAAGCTCGGGAATCACATTTGTGTGGGAATTAATGGTCCATAGCAGAGGGAGTGACTGCTTACATAAAGGCCCAGAGGCAACTTTAGAAGGGTTGGCACACGAAAGAAGTCTGAAAGAAGTTCAGAAATGTTGAGGAAAGGAATATATCCATCTCATTTGCATCTCTTGATACTTCGCTGTGCTCGTTTGGGGAATGAATACAATTCTCCAGTCACAGACAGCCCTGAATAGGCAATCTATTCTGACTTTAGCACTGTGGCAACATTTCCAAAATATCTTTTATCCCAGTTGCTTAACACGCACTCAAATACACGATTTTGTGTTTCCTGTGTCAGAAGGGCAGTTATGAAGACTAGTGTTTGGATCCTAACTCTGAGAAAAATGTATCAAAAGACCAATTTATTCTATTAAAATGTTTCATGGGGTAAAAGACAATTCGGCCAGTTATTAATCTCAATGGGCAGTTTTAGGGGTTGGGGACAGAGGAAGGATGGCGGAGGAGCATCTATCTACATAGATAAAACATCAGCAGCGACAAGACCTGCCTCCAGAGCTCAGGCATTACACAGCTAGATTTACTGCATTAGTTACTTTCCTGTTTACTGTGACTAAACACCTAACAGAGACAACTGAAGGAATTATTTATCTTGGCCCAGGGTCACAAAGGTATCAGGCCACGGCCAGCAGGCCATGGTAGAACAGCAGTTCCCATCGTGGTGAATATAAAGCAGTGACACTGGGGACAAGCTACAGTCCCCAAGGACACCTCTCCAGGGACCTCCTTCCTGCCACCACACAGCAAGTCCCACCCCCTCTCAGGAATTTGTTCAGATTTTACATCCATCCGTTGATTAAACCATTAAGTGAGAACCTACATGATCTAATCATCTCTTGAAAATGTAGCCCTCAGAGACAGTCGAGAGTTAGGTTTTACTTAATATTAACCATCAATATTAGCATCAAGACCACCTAAAACAAAATAAACTGATTTTGTGTGTGTGTGTGTGTGTGTGTGTGTGTGTGTGTGTGTGTGTTATTCTCATTGCCTTGTAACTAAACAAATGAACAAGTCCCAGTGGATTCATTATTATATTTATAGACATCATAATGAGTAAGACAAATTTACCCCCAGTTTAGGTAGAAGTAATCTTGTTTAGATTCCATTTAAGGTAGAATTTGCTATCATCTAATTTCATTGTACATCTAAACATCATGGAAATGACACTTTCTTCACTAACTGGATAGCTCCTTACCAAAGTATTTTAGCCATTTGTGTTTGTGTTTTACTCACTTAATTGAGAACAAGAGGAACATGAACTTGTATTTAGGCTCTCTTCACAGCCGGAAACTTGAGGTCAGAGGTGCAAATTGAAGTAATTTGTCACTTATCAGCTGTGAGACTCTGGCCAAGTGCAATTAATCTTAGTACTTTTTTTGTTGGGTTCCATCTTCAAAATCTGAAAGATGTTCATGTAAACCTTAACTTTTTTAGATGAGGATAAAACATTACAAAGTTCTTGGCCCAGGGCCTTTCATGTAGTAAGCTCCAGTGCTAGTCTGTGCTACTTACTGTAATCATCAGCTGTCTGGAAGGCTGGATCTAACCATTTGAATATTTTCAATGATAGCAATGGGCAAGATATAACAGGGAGAGGGTGAATGTCTCTATTTCCTCTATTCCTTCTAGGCTGAACTTTATTTTTGGTCCAGTTGCAGTCTACCTGTCACTGGATCTGATAGAGCAGCCTCCTTCCGGTATCCAGGTTCTTCCAGGCTTCTTTCCCCTCTGCTGCTTCCTGTGATGTCTATCTACCTCATCATATCCCAGGTGCTCTACCTTTATTGTCTCCCTTGAGGCCTCCTCCAGGCTGTCGGCTTATGAGACTTCCTTCAGTTAAATCCTTTGTGTTTGCCATATATTACACTAGGACTCTGACATGTATAAAACAATGAAAAGGACTTTATATATATTTATTTATATCATTGGATATAAATGAGAACTTTTTTTTTCTTGGCAAATTGTTTAATGTATGTTGGAAGAAACTAACATAAGAAGTTGTAAACCCTTGGGAAGTTTGTTGGAATGGTAGTCGTTTGTTATGCTCTATGCATAGCTTTGAAAGCCGGCGAGAGTTTGTTTAGAAGGCAGGGGGTAGTGGGAAGGAAGGGTGGGGTTCTTTTGTAGATGCATCAAACAACAAGATTGTATCCACAGGGGCAAGAAGAGCAAGAGGATTGTGAGCAAAGTAAGGAAATGTGCCTGGATGAGATGGGTGCCCTGTCTGAGGGTTGTGATAGGCAGAATAATAGAGACCCATCAAAGGTGCCCCTGCTCTAGTCCATGAATGCGGAGTATGTTACCTTAGATAAGAAAACAGATTTGGCAGATGTAATTGAACAGGGGTCTGGAGAGACATACCCAATACATGCAGGGACCCTGGGCAGGTAGACTTGAAGAAGATGTCACCATGAAACAGATTCGGGGAGGAAGACTGAAAAACTGTGCTCCTAGTGCTGAAGACGTGCAGGTAGCCACATAAAGTGGAAAGTAGCAAGGAAGCCCATTTTCCTCTAGGGCCTCCACAGGAAATGCTCTGGGGGGACCTTGATTTTATCACAGTGTGACTTAAAACCTACAGAACTGTGAAATAGTAAATGTCTCCTTTTAAGCCAATAACTCCATAGCAACTTGTTACAGCAGTAATAGGAAATGGACACAGGGTCCTGGATTTGGGCAATTAGTTGAGAATTTTGGATTTTTATCTGAGAGGCAAGCATGAACTACCACAGACGGTCTACTTAAATATATACAAAGGGTTAAAGGTTGGTAAACAACATAAGCGCTCTAACATCATCCACAAGTGGGTCTGTCTAAGACTCCAGATTAACTGCAGGTTCCATTGGTGAGAGGTTTCCAAGTATGAGCAATTGTTAAAAGTCAGACCCGAGATCCTTAATGCCATCTTGTGAAATGGACATAAATACACTACGCATAAGAAACCTGCTCTCCCTGGGTCAATAATGCTCTGAATATTATACGAAAAGAAAATATGAACTTACTTTAGAAACATCTACCGATTTTTCTCCTCTAATTCTCATCTTGGATTCGGCAAGGCACGCTACACCAGTGTATACTTGACATTGTTACTCCATCATCCCCGCCCCTCTTGGAAAACTGTCATTCTTTTAGAGAATACACAACCTTCATTTCTGCACTGACTCAATGTTTGGTAAAATGTGACAAAGAAAAGAAAAGATATAGCTTGAGTAATTAGTAAATAATTCAAATTTGGCAAAACAACAAGATACAATCTCTGAAAGTTCGCGTTGGAAAGGAACCACAGGTCATGGGTTCCATCAAGGGTTGGGGCAATAAGTAGTAGGCTAAGCCACTCCCTGGCCTGGATTGCAGTTCCAAAGTTACCACTGTTCGGATTATTGGACATTTCCTGAGGAGTGGGAAATGTGTGGACAAAAAGCCCATAGCTCATTATTCACTCCCCACACCACTTCAGTCGGAGAAAAGATTAGCTCATTATTAACTCCCCACACCCACTTCAATAGGAGAAGAGATAGGATTGCCGATAATCCATTCTTAAGTAAACTTAAGGGTTCTCAGTGTTTAGCCATCCACTGCTGGGTTAACTGCTAATAGTCAACCGTGAAATTAACTAGTTAAGCATACCAACAGTGAAAACATCAGACATAGGATATCGTGGCATGTTAAAGACAACCACTAATGAAAGGACTGATGAGGTGATAAACTGTTGCTTAATGCTTCTACCATTTCACTCCCCCACCGGCTAAGTTTCACCTCCCCAACTGGTAACTACTACAAAGGCTGTGACCCTAGCTACCGCTACCATTTGGAAAATCCAAAATGCTCCCAGTTTCTCTCGGCTGGGTATAACACTGCATTTCTCGGGCACTAAGTCTTCTTAAAACTACATTTTGTATTTGAAAGACTGCATTGTGATCTTTGTATACTAAACCTTCCGAGCTAATGTAGAAATGTCACATTGAGACAAGTTTTGCCTGGCATGCCTGCCTTTCCTTGTTCTGTAGCAGAAAAGGTCCTGAATATTAAACAGGAAGAAAATGCTATAAAGTCCACTTCTGAGCAACCCTAAGGCAGGAACTTTGCACACTAATCAGGCGTCCCCGGTTACTCTCCTTTCCAAAAAATTTAAATACCTAAAACACAGCTTACAACGTAAAAACAGCTTTAATTTTGAAAAGCCTCTTGTACTTGGAAAGTTCTAGGCACTGCCTCCCTCACTCCTGGGCTGGCCGCAGGCGCTCCCTTCAGTCCTCCGACCTGGCTGGTCTACCTGAGGGTCTCTCTGGTCTGACCCTCTGCTATGGTGTGCCACCCCTCACCGGAGTCCCAACCAAGCCCCACCAGAGATGATCAGGAAAGCAGGGTCGCTCACCAGTGAGGAGCCAGCAGCAGGCTACAGTGACCTCTAGGCTGGCAGGGCGCCTGGGGACCATGGCTGGAGTGGCTGCAAGCTCCCTTGACGTGCGGGTTCCTGGGCAGGAGCTGGCAGGAGCTGGCAGGAGCTGCGCGCCGGTGCCTTGCGCTCTGGGTCACTCGGGCGGTCTCCGCGGGTGTCCAGCAGTGGCCCCAGCGGCTGCAGCGCCCAAGAGCCGCAGAGGAGTGATTTCCTGTGTTTTGCCTCTAAGCTCGCTCCACGCTTTTCACATCCCAGACCGATTGCCACATCTCCCGCCCCTTCGAGCGCTGGGTCTCTGAAATCTCCCTGGCAGCGTCCCAGGCTCGATCCGAGACATGGACAAATAAAGCCAACTTCGCGGGACCGTGTTTAGGCTAAAGTCCACACGGGCAACGGCGGCAAAGCAAACCTTAAAGGGACATCTGCCTTTCACTGAGAGGGCGATCTTGCTTCATGTACCAAATCCCTAAGGTGGTGGGAAGGCGGGGCTGGACTTTCAGGAGGGTGTCGCCAGCCAGCCTAATGGCCCCGCCTTCGTGCCCGGACTTCTCCCGGATCTGGGTAGGAAGGGCACTTTGAAAGTGCCCGGGCTTTTACTCCACGAAGGGAGGCTGCTATCCTGTGACCAGCTGCGCAGAAGGGATCAGACTCGCAAGGAAGTCAGCGTGTCAGCTAAACCCCTTTCTTGCCAGAGGACGCCTGGACTTGGCTTTGGAGCCTTCTCTTCCCCTTCCCCCCCGCCCCCCGGGGGCGTCCTCACCACAGACAAGCTTCGCAGAGGGCTTTGCTTTCAGTTGGGGAGAGCTTGACTCTTTTAAGAAGGCTCCTGATTAAAGGAAGCTGTAAATAAGGCTTTTTTTTGGGGGGGGGGGGTTGAGGAGGGGCAAGAATAGGACTGTGACAAAAGGAAAAAAGACAAACTAGACTGGGTGGGCAAGGAAGGGTTAGGGAAACGGAGGTGGGGAGGAAATGGAATGTGGGCTATTTTGTCTAAGCTAAATTAGGATGTTTGAACACTGGGGACTGACTCTAATAGAGAACTCAAGGTACTGTTTTAGTTTTTGTTTTTGTTTTGTTTCCTTCTTATATGAATGCATAGTAAATGCGTTCATGTTACTCCTGTCCAAGAGAGGTGGCCCGGAGTTCATCGGCTTCTCTTGGCTGGTCACTCAAAGTTCGTATTAGCTTCAACAAATACATGCCGTTTTCAAGTACCTTCACACTTCCGAGAATTTTCAAAGAATGGATGGGGTGGGTTTGTGGTTGGAGCCCTTTGCAGAAATCAGTCCAAGTCAGCAAATACTGGAACATCTCTGTCTAGCAAGAAGAGGGAGGACCAGGCAGACGTGCCACCCGAAGGAGGGCCCTCTGTCTAGACGACCAGGCAGCTAGCACAGGGGGTGGGGGTAGCACACGGCTGGAGGGGCCTGGAGAAGCCCACAGACATCACCGGGTAAATGCCAAATAGGGAAATATGGCAGGCAGCTCCACGGGGGAAGGACTAACGTCAAGGAAGTTTAATGATAAAGAATAGGGTGAGCTAGTCAGGTATGGCGGCACATGCCTGTTATCCCACCGCTCAAAAACCTGAGGCAGGAGGACTCCAGATTCAAGAGGCAGCCTGGGCCCCAGAGTGAGACCCTCTCTCAAAAACAGCAGAATTCAAAGGCTGAAGGCTATCTAACGTCATTACCGTGACCCATTAGACCATTGGCAAGGAATTCCCTTTTCCACATACATTTCAAGTGATGATGATGTAGCAAACATGAAATATCACATTCTTACTGGTTTTGGCTTTCATGTCTTCTCTCGGTTCCAATTTCAGAATTACCCAAATATCTAGAAAAATAGTACTCTGTGGGATCAGAATCCGTTCCCACTAGACATTACTTGGGCTTACTTGCCTGCATTCAAAATCTTTCCAAAGAATGCCTTTCTGGTGTACATTCCATATCTCCTGATCAGTCTGTTGTGTCTTCTCCCTCTTGGTATGATCCAATGGACTTCGCAAAGTAATCAATAAGTATTGATTAATGCTTGGGCACTTAAAACTCATAATAAATAATTTCCCGATAGTATTTCCCCCAAACATTTGGTTTTCAAAATATAATCTGTGTATGTATATATGTGTTTATATGTATACACATGCATGTAAATACAGACATATGTGTATGACAATGCATTTTATTAGACACAACAAAAATTATACATATCTTATTATAACATAATGTTAAGATATTCTTGTAATATGATCAAGGTTGTAAGTCATGAGAGCTTTTCCTCTCTTTGCTGGGTGCTGACTTGTCCTTTCAATTTAAATATTTGTATCTCCTCCAGGAGTTAAAAACTCTTAATAGTAATAAGACCACTACCAGTAGAATTGCTATGTATGGTAGGACTTTTATTTTTAATTGATCTTCTCATCAAATCAATGTGGAGATTGGAAAGTAGCCATTGCTGCAGAATTGCATTGGAATCCGTTCTCATTCTCTGAACTACCATAAACTTAAAGACAAATTGCTGTCAAACACACCCTCTGCTTTCCTTTGTTTATTCTGACTAGGAAGAAGACAGGCCACTGAGTTAACTGGAGTTTAGCAAAAAGAAATGCCAAGTCTTACGAGAAAGTAATTCTATGAGAAGCCTGGGCAGGAAATGTCCAGCTCTATACTCAGCTATTTTAAACAAGACCTGGTCTGATCAGATCCCTTCTGGTGTTTAGAAATGAATGAGTAAAAATCTGAGGACCAAAGTGATGAAGAATTTGTAAAGCTGAGTCTTTGGAGTGAGGCCAGATAGTTGGTTTAGTGGTTTGAAAAAGAATGGCCTCCATAGACTCATATGTTTCAGTACTTGGTCCCCAGTCAGTGGAACTGTTTGGGAAGGATTGGAAGGTGTCACCTTGTTGGATAAAGTGAGTCACTAGTAGTGGGTTTTGAGGATTCAAAAGCCCCTCCCATGCCCTTCCCAGCTAGCTTTCTCTGCATTGTGATTGTGGATCAAGTTGAAAACTTTCAGCTACTGCTCTAGCATCATGCCTGCCTGCCTACTGCCATACTCCCCATAAGGACTATCATGGGCGCTCACCCTCTGAAACTGCAAACCCCCACCCAAACCCTTTCTCCTGTAAGTTGCTTTGGTAACTAAGTAACTAAGACAGTTGCTACTACTGGTGCATAGTCTTAAAAAGCAAACACAGATTTTACCCTAAAGTTTATATTGGACTTAGTCTAATCCACTAGTGCCATTTAGTATAAATACATATATTCATAGTATAAATGTATATTCAGTTATTTATAAACTAACTAGTATATAATTTTAAAACAAATAAATTCCCATTAAATAAATATTTAGTATGATACATTTAGTATAAAATTACTAAAGTTCTGGAGCAATTGAGTACCATAGCTGTATAACACTGAGGAATAGCCTAGTTTTTCTTTTTCTCTTTTTTTCTTTTCTTTTCTTTTCTTTTCTTTTCTTTTCTTTTCTTCTTCTTCTTCTTCTTCTTCTTCTTCTTCTTCTTCTTCTTCTTCTTCTTCTTCTTCTTCTTCTTCTTCTTCTTCTTCTTCTTCTTTCCCAGATAGTGTTCCTCTGTGTAACAGCCCTGCCTGTCCTGGAACTCATTCTGTACACCAGGCTAGACTTGAACTCAGAAAGATCTGCCTGCCTCTGCCCCCTGAGTACTGGGGCTAAAGGCGTGCACCACCACAGTTTTCTAATGATGGGAATAATTCCTTTCCCTGAAGACTGGTTGGGGATTAAATGAGGCAACGTCCAAGCAGTCAGTGAAAGGCTTGGATTGCGTTCAGTGCTCACGAGCTACTAAACAGTCTTCTTCCCCATGGCAGAAGAACTGTCACTAGTTCAGCAGTGGAAAGTTAGGCAATCCCTGTGTGTGACAGGCCCTGAATGAAAAATTGCAGTGTGATGGCCATCAGAAGCGGAACTTTAGTACTTTAACCTCAAAAAATCTCCATCTACTCTTACTATTTCTTAAATTACTTGGTCACATTGGCTGGAAATTATGGAATTATCCAGAAGATTTGCCTATGAGATGAGTGTAGATTAGGATACCAAAACCATTATAACATTGGCATGAATTTGCTTTTCAAACCAGCTAGCTGTCAAATGGATTTTTTGAAAACAAAAATAGCAAGTGTCACCAAGATTTGGGAAGTAGGAGGGTTCAAACAGCAAAGCCTAATGCCACAGGGTAAGGAAGTGATCCCACCAAGAAGGTGTTGCAACTTGTACTCAATAATAAATAATTTAAAGTTTGTTCCATATTAAAGAAAAATCTAAGAAAAATTAAAAACAATGTTTTTTAAAGAAAAGTCTATGCTGAGCTTTCAAATACTTTTTTTGCTTCATGCTATTTTTTTATTAAAAAATTCTCTGAAAATTTTGTACATGTAAATAATGAATTCTGATCACTTTCCACCCCCTATTTTCCCTCTCATTTCCCTCCAACTCCTGCTGAAACCGTTGAATCCACCAAGTCCTCCCTGCCCACCCACTTTCATATGTTTTTGTATATGCGACACACGGAGTTCAATTATGGTAGCTGCATGAATGTATGTGTGGGTGGGTGGGTAATTACTGGAAAAATGGCAATTGTCAATGGCTATACCACTGAACAAAAACTATACCACTTCCCCCATTACCCTTCACTGCAAAATTTTAAGGTACCATCAAAATGAGTATCTCACTCATTGCTCACTCGAAGGATTTAGTGGCAGAATTGTCCAGATCTGCTTTTCCTTTTACAATGATTCCATAAAGCTTTAGATTTTTATCATTTCAATATGTAAGCAACCAGGGAAGTAGTCCCCAGGGCAAGTGCAGTGATGCTTGCTGATACGGAGAACCCACACAGGTAAAGTGTGCAGCCAACTCAGTCTTTAAAAAAGTTCTGCTGGGGACTGAGCTCCAGCACCGTTTTCCTCTGAGGTGAAAATGAGCAGCCCAGTTGTTGTTCCGCTGCAAATCTGCTGTCCATTAACTTCTTTCACTTGTAACTGGAAACAGAAAAGAAGTGGCCGGCCCTCAAGTCTACCATCAGCTTGCTTCGTTTTAAGCCTATTGAGTTACGCAGCCTAGATTCATTAATGCTGTTACACCTTGAAAAATTCATGGTTGTTCCTCTCCGACCAAATCAAGTGCAAGGGATGTGGAGCTCAAACTTCACCACTGGCCAACCATTTGGTTTCTGTTATTGCGTAACTTTCTTGCCAGAGTGTTTTTTCACTTAAATAGGTGTTCCTCCCGCCCTATTTCCTGAACATGTCTGTGCCAGAAACCTTGTCCAAAGGCATTTGGGCAACTGGTACAAAAGGGGGAAAAAAAAAAATCCTTGACGTTAGAATCCTGATGAGGTTAGTTGAGCTCTTAACGCTGTATGTAACTTCCCCTGACTTATTGGCAGGCTTCAACGTGAGTGACACACCACGCTGCAGCAGAGAGGCTGGGCCA